CCCTAACCCTCAAGGGGTGTACAATCTAAGGTCCCTAACCCTCAAGGGGTGTACAATCTAAGGTCCCTAACCCTCAAGGGGCGTACAATCTAAAGTCCCTAACCCTCAAAGGGTGTACAATCTAAGGTCCCTAACCCTCAAGGGGCGTACAATCTAAGGACCCTAACCCTCAAGGGGCGTACAATCTAAGGACCCTAACCCTCAAGGGGCGTACAATCTCAGGTCCCTAACCCTCAAGGGGCGTACAATCTAAGGTCCCTCACCCTAAAGGGGTGTACAATCTAAGGTCCCTAACCCTCAAGGGGCGTACAATCTAAGGTCCCTAACCCTCAAGGGGCGTACAATCTAAGGTCCCTAACCCTCAAGGGGCGTACAATCTAAGGTCCCTAACCCTCAAGGGGCGTACAATCTAAGGTCCCTAACCCTCAAGGGGCGTACAATCTAAGCTCCCTAACCCTCAAGGGGCGTACAATCTAAGGTCCCTAACCCTCAAGGGGCGTACAATCTAAGGTCCCTAACCCTCAAGGGGCGTACAATCTAAGGTCCCTAACCCTCAAGGGGGGTACAATCTAAGGTCCCTAACCCTCAATGGGGCGTACAATCTAAGGTCCCTAACCCTCAAGGGGCGTACAATCTAAGGTCCCTAACCCTCAATGGGGCGTACAATCTAAGGACCCTAACCCTCAAGGGGGGTACAATCTAAGGTCCCTAACCCTCAAGGGGCGTACAATCTAAGGTCCCTAACCCTCAAGGGGCGTACAATCTAAGGTCCCTCACCCTCAAGGGGCGTACAATCTAAGGTCCCTAACCCTCAAGGGGTGTACAATCTAAGGTCCCTGATCCTCAAGGGGTGTACAATCTAAGGTCCCTAACCCTCAAGGGGCGTACAATCTAAGGTCCCTGATCCTCAAGGGGGGTACAATCTAAGGTCCCTAACCCTCAAGGGGTGTACAATCTAAGGTCCCTAACCCTCAAGGGGCATACAGTCTAAGGGGCGTACAATCTAAGGTCCCTCACCCTCAGGGGTGTACAATCTAAGGTCCCTAACCCTCAAGGGGGGTACAATCTAAGGTCCCTAACCCTCAAGGGGGGTACAATCTAAGGTCCCTAACCCTCAAGGGGGGTACAATCTAAGGTCCCTAACCCTCAAGGGGGGTACAATCTAAGGTCCCTAACCCTCAAGGGGCGTACAATCTAAGGTCCCTAACCCTCAAGGGGCGTACAATCTAAGGTCCCTGACCCTCAAGGGGCGTACAATCTAAGGTCCCTGACCCTCAAGGGGCGTACAATCTAAGGTCCCTAACCCTCAAGGGGTGTACAATCTAAGGTCCCTAACCCTCAAGGGGTGTACAATCTAAGGTCCCTGATCCTCAAGGGGTGTACAATCTAAGGTCCCTAACCCTCAAGGGGCGTACAATCTAAGGTCCCTGATCCTCAAGGGGGGTACAATCTAAGGTCCCTAACCCTCAAGGGGTGTACAATCTAAGGTCCCCTAACCCTCAAGGGGCATACAGTCTAAGGGGCGTACAATCTAAGGTCCCTCACCCTCAAGGGGTGTACAATCTAAGGTCCCTAACCCTCAAGGGGGGTACAATCTAAGGTCCCTAACCCTCAAGGGGGGTACAATCTAAGGTCCCTAACCCTCAAGGGGGGTACAATCTAAGGTCCCTAACCCTCAAGGGGGGTACAATCTAAGGTCCCTAACCCTCAAGGGGCGTACAATCTAAGGTCCCTGACCCTCAAGGGGCGTACAATCTAAGGTCCCTGACCCTCAAGGGGCGTACAATCTAAGGTCCCTGACCCTCAAGGGGCGTACAATCTAAGGTCCCTGACCCTCAAGGGGCGTACAATCTAAGGTATGGAAGGTTTTGGAAGACTTTGCTGAGCCCAAACCTAAATAAGGCTGAGAACCCTAATCTACAGAGCTGATTGGTTACTTTTTATCTCCACATGCACATTGTTAGCGCTGTTTGATTAATTAGTTGTTATAGTGTCTGTCTCGCCCTCCTTACACCTCGGCGCTCATCCCCTGTCATCACACTCAGCAACACGTAGCACTGCGAGACAGATTACCTCTCACCTTCCAAGCTGATTTGCGGTTTATCCAGTAAGATATTAAGGTTGACTTTAACAACTCTGCTCAAGGTTTTTCCTCCTCCGTGCCAGTCATAGAATTATTCTGTTATCCACATATAAAATGGCGGTGGGGAAAACACATCAGATAATTACAGATTAATAATACACAAATATGGAGATGTGCTTTTAAAGGGTGCACATTTGGGAAATAGATGAGGTGCAGAGCAGATAAAACTGACATTTTTTAGCAATTTTAAGTGGAAAAAACACATTTTATATTCTCCCCCGGGCTCTAAATCTATTGTACATTCACATCAGTCCCTAACCCTCAAGGGGCGTACAATCTAAGGTCCCTGACCCTCAAGGGGCGTACAATCTAAGGTCCCTAACCCTCAAGGGGCGTACAATCCAAGTCCCTAACCCTCAAGGGGCGTACAATCTAAGGTCTCTAACCCTCAAGGGGCGTACAATCTAAGGTCCCTAACCCTCAAGGGGCGTACAATCTAAGGTCCCTAACCCTCAAGGGGCGTACAATCTAAGGTCCCTAACCCTCAAGGGGCGTACAATCTAAGGTCCCTAACCCTCAAGGGGCGTACAATCTAAGGTCCCTAACCCTCAAGGGGCGTACAATCTAAGGTCCCTAACCCTCAAGGGGCGTACAATCTAAGGTCCCTAACCCTCAAGGGGCGTACAATCTAAGGTCCCTAACCCTCAAGGGGTGTACAATCTAAAGTCCCTAACCCCCAAGGGGCGTACAATCTAAGGTCCCTAACCCTCAAGGGGGGTACAATCTAAGGTCCCTAACCCTCAAGGGGCGTACAATATAAGGTCCCTAACCCTCAAGGGGCGTACAATCTAAGGTCCCTAACCCTCAAGGGGCGTACAATCTAAGGTCCCTAACCCTCAAGGGGTGTACAATCTAAAGTCCCTAACCCTCAAGGGGCGTACAATCTAAGGTCTCTAACCCTCAAGGGGCGTACAATCTAAGGTCTCTAACCCTCAAGGGGCGTACAATCTAAGGTCCCTAACCCTCAAGGGGCGTACAATCTAAGGTCCCTAACCCTCAAGGGGGGTACAATCTAAGGTCCCTAACCCTCAAGGGGCGTACAATCTAAGGTCCCTAACCCTCAAGGGGGGTACAATCTAAGGTCCTTTACTCAGATTCATACATACTAGGGACAATTAACCTACCAGCATGTCTTTAGAGTGTGGGTGGAAACCGGAGTACCTGGAGGAAACCATCACAGGCAAACTCCAGGCATCTAGTGCCTTTTAATTAGATTGGTATTTTACAGATTTTTTTTTAATTTCACACATTATGCCTTTATTTGGGTTGTAGAATACTAGCTTCTTGTGAGAGGGGAAAAAAGCTAATATTTTTCTTTTCTGGTATTTTATTCCTTATTTATTTTTTTCCCATTTTATATAATTAGATAGTGCTGTGAAGAGTACATGTGCATCAGTCTCTGCACCAAAGGAGCTTACACTCCAATGTCCCCCACAGGCACACACTATTATACATTTATATAGATCTAACATAGACCGCAGTGCTGTACAGAGAACACTGAGCCAGTCACATCAGTCTCTGTACCAGAGGAGCTTACACTCTAATGTCCCCTCCCCCACAGTCACATCAGTCTCTGTACCAGAGGAGCTTACACTCTAATGTCCCCTCCCCCACAGTCACATCAGTCTCTGTACCAGAGGAGCTTACACTCTAATGTCCCCCCCTCCCCCCCACAGTCACATCAGACTCTGTACCAGAGGAGCTTACACTCCAATGTCCCCCACAGGCACACACTATTATACATTTATATAGATCTAACATAGACCGCAGTGCTGTACAGAGAACACTGAGCCAGTCACATCAGTCTCTGTACCAGAGGAGCTTACACTCTAATGTCCCCTCCCCCACAGTCACATCAGTCTCTGTACCAGAGGAGCTTACACTCTAATGTCCCCTCCCCCACAGTCACATCAGTCTCTGTACCAGAGGAGCTTACATTCTAATGTCCCCTCCCCCCCACAGTCACATCAGACTCTGTACCAGAGGAGCTTACACTCTAATGTCCCCTCCCCCACAGTCACATCTGTCACTGCACCAGAGGAGCTTACACTCTAATGTCCCCTCCCCCACAGTCACATCAGTCTCTGTACCAGAGGAGCTTACACTCTAATGTCCCCTCCCCCACAGTCCCACACTATTATTATACATTTATAGCTCTGACATAGGCCGCAGTGCGGTACAGAGAACACTGAGCTAGTCCCATCTGTCTCTGCACCAGAGGAGCTTACACTCTAATGTCCCCTCCCCCACAGTCACATCTGTCTCTGTACCAGAGGAGCTTACACTCCAATGTCCCCATCACATTATTATACATTTATATAGCTCTGACATAGACTGCAGCGCTGTACTGAGAACACTCAGCCAGTCACATCTGTCTCTGCACCAGAGGAGCTTACACTCTAATGTCCCCCCCCCACAGTCACACACTATTATTATTATTATACATTTATATAGCTCTGACATAGACTGCAGTGCTGTACAGAGAACATTGAGCAAGTCACATCAGTCTCTGTACCAGAGGAGCTTACACTCCAATGTCCCCAGCACATTATTATATATTTATATAGCTCTGACATAGACCGCAGCACTGTACTGAGAACACTCAGCCAGTCACATCTGTTTCTGTACCAGAGGAGCTTACACTCTAATGTCCCCATCACATTATTATACATTTAACATAACTGTTGTTGTGCAGTTGGAGGATGCTCACACAAACACAGAGATCATACAGCCTCCATGCTGATATTGTTCAGATAGGGAACTGAACTGTGAACCCTAGTGCAGTACTTGCCAATAGACCACAATGCTGCCCTGTTAGCTGAAGCTCACTCTGGTCTTGTGTCTTCTATGATTACAGAAGTTCTTCCTCTGGTGGAATTTTATCTGGAAGAAGGGATTTCTGATGAAGAGGCCATGTCACTCATCAATCTCGAGGCTCCTCGAAGTCACCCCAATAAAGACAAGTGGCAGGAAATGTCCTCCGCTGGTATCCTTTTTACTCAAAGTGATCGTCTGTCTTTTTTTTTTCGTTAGTTTTTACAAGTGTGGGTGTGTGTGTGTGCGTGTGGGTGTGGGTGGTGTGTGTGTGTGTGGGTGGGTGTGTGTGTGTGGGTGGGTGTGTATGTGTGTGTGTATGTGGGTGGGTGTATGTGTGTGTATGTGGGTGGGTGTATGTGTGTGTATGTGGGTGGGTGTATATGTGTGTGTGTGTGTGTGTATGTGGGTGGGTGTATGTGGGTGGGTGGGTGGGTGTGTGTGTGTGGGTGGGTGTGTGGGTGGGTGTGGGTGGGTGTATATGTGTGTGGATGTGGGTGTGTGTGTGTGTGTGTGTGGCCATCAGGTCTCTTGATTATCTTCAGTGCAGGTTTACATAAACACCTAGCAGAGAGTGCAGCACAAAGTAGTACTGACAAGTCAATCAATCTAGGAGGACATTGCTGTGGGTCATAGCAGTGAGGTGATTGAGGACTAAGAGGCAGAAGGGTCGATCGATCGAAGGAAGACTCCAAAATCATAGCTGTGTCAAAATCCATGGATAAAGGATGACCAGGGTGGAGAGGCGAGGGTAAAAAAAAAAAAAAATCACTCATCCATCTATGCTGATGTGACTTCTGTAATATAGAAGTCTATGGGGCTGAAAGCGAACTGAAGTCCACCAGGAAACTTTTCCAAAATCACACTGTGCTGAGTTGATTAGAAGGGCACCAGTGAATATAACCGGATTTCTTTTGTCATGCGATTCTGTAAACCGTGGCTTGAAAACTTCCCTCAGGTACGTTGCGGTTTCCATACATTTCAATAAAGTACATTGTTTTTGGTGTAGTTTATTTTTTTACTGGACCAAACATGCACGAAAGATGCAGCAAGCAGGATTTTTTTACCGCAACTGAAGCGCAATGGACCCGTGTGAAGAGCTACATAGGATTTAAAGAGATGCAGTTTCCTTCCGCTTTTCTTCCACTTTTTTTTTCTTTATTGAAGAATGCACCAAAAGCAGATCAGTGTGAAAGTTGCCTTACTTGGGTCTTTTTCAAGAGATTGTTTGGCTTTCTCTGGATAACCACTTCTACTCCCTACATGCCTCTGATTTTTTGCTAGTGTCCTAGTAGGATGGATGCTGCTATGCTTAGAAAAGTCCAATGTTTTGGCTAGTCTTTGATATATATTTTCTTTAATCAAGATTTCTGCTACATTGCTGCTGAGCCGGTCACCCTGTGGAGCTATCTGGATCGGCCTTTCATCAGTTACAAAGTTAGTCTGGCTGAAAAAAGACTAAAGTCCATCCACTTCAACCAAAAAATAAAAAAAAAGTTATAATCCTACACCCACAGTTGAACCAGAGGAAGGCAAAAATACCCAGCAAAGCACGATCCAATCTGCTCCTGCAGGGAAACAATTCCTTCCTGATCCCCCGAGAGGCAATCGGATATTCCCTGGATCAACTTTACCTATAAATGTTATATCCAGTTCAGGGGCGGACTGACAACTCATGGGGCCCCCGGGCAATAGGGGATCATGAGGCCCCTGTGTCCTTGCCCAAACTTAAAAAAGCCTATGATAAAGGTACCAGGGGCATCTCATGGGGCCCCCTACTGACCCCGGGCCCTCGGGCAGTGCCCGAGTACTCGAATGGTCAGTTCACCCCTGATCCAATTATATTCTGTGTATCTAAGAAAGAATCCAGGACTTTTTTAAAAGAATCCACTGAGCTGGCCAGAACCAACTCTTGAGGGAGTCTATTCCACATTGCACAGCTCTTACTGTCTGACTTTGGAGGCTGTACTTGGACCCTGTTGGGTTGGTAGGGCTAGATTTATATGTGACCTTTGGGCGCTGGACTCTGCATTGCAGTTCTTCTCATTCCTTTGTGTACTGGATAAAAGATAAGTGCACCTTTTAAAAAAAAAAGAAACACCTATGTGGGTGCAGTTTTGATCTGATGCTGCAGTTGTCCCCCGCCGGCTCTAAGACTTGGCTGCTGATCGCTCAGTTTCTCAGTCTTCAGTGAGCAGAAAGAGGTGACTGTCAGCCACCAGCTCTGTGCTCTGCCCCTCCAGCGCTCAATGAAGCAGCGGGCTGCGAAGTGGATGGAAGTAGCTGGCAAGGGCTCTCAGCGGCATGGTGAGAGGCTGAACCAGCTGCCGGCCAGGCATGTGGGCGGATCCCGACATTATTGTTGGGATCCCTGCACAGCCTGGACCAGCTGTGAGCTGACAGCAGACTTTAGCCCTCTGTTGGCTGGATCTGGCTCATAGAAGTGCACTCCTGTGACCCATAGAAGAAGTATGTCCAAAAGAGATTTAGGTATACTTCTTCTCCAAGTTAGCCATAGAGCACTTTCCAGGTCCAGAGTCCCGGCTTAGTGCCGACCCTATTGCTAATGACTCACTTTGTGAATAGGCTGAGCATCGGGAGCTGCCTCAATTACGAACCCCCATTCGATATCCTGTTTTCTGACCATTTTACCGCACACATGTTTTTTTAACATGTTTAAAATATTGTCTGACAGGTCACGTCATTTGTGTCTTTCTTGATTAAAACGTGTCACAAACTTCATAATTGTGAGTTAATGACCTTAACAAAAAAAAAAAGACACACAAACGCTGAGACTAGATGATGATGATGAGCCCTTCATGGATGGCGACCCCTTCACAGCAAAGTTAAGTTTTGAGGTGGGTGACCAGTTCCTAATGTAGAAGGTACAGAAGATGTATGATGAAACACTCCAGTTATGGTGTCGGCTATAAAACCTAGAAAAAAAAACCCCCAAAAATGAATCAAGCAACCAATAAAAATAAGACCTGAGAAATGATTTGTGACTCTAACCAACTCTCTTCTGTCCTGCAGCAAGGCGGCTCTGAGTTTGTCCCCGTGGTTGTGTCCCGTTCGGTCCTGAGAGCCATGAGCAGGAGGGACGTCATGGTGAAGCGTTGGCCGCATCCTCTGAAGTGGCAGTACTTCCGCTCACTGCTCCCCGATGTCTCCATCACCATGTGCCAGTCCTGTTTCCAGGTATGTGCTGTCTATACACTTGCTGCCCTGATGGGAAAGTGTGACGGACCGCCTATCGCCCTGCCTGGGTGCCTCCTTGCCGCTGGGACACAGGACCAAAGTATTATAGCTGGGCATTGCGCCCAAGAACTAGACAACACCAGCGTAGGTGCAAAATTGGAACTCTTAATTGAACAGAAATACAGGTTTTTATACATTTCAGAAATAAGGGCAGTCCCCACATGAACATTAACCCCCCTGGCGGTATTCCCGAATGTAGCTCGGGGTAAAGTTTCAGCACCACAAGCGGTAACCCCCCCGAGCTACACTCGGGAATACACTGCAGCGTTGCTCCGGGATCTCTTCTTCACTTACCTTGTCCTGCGCTTCTGCGATGTCCCCCCTGCAGTGTCCCCTGTAATGTCCTCCGGCCGATGCCAGCATCTGTCTTCCGGGTTCCGTTCCCTGCGACGTCGGGATGTACGGGGGACGGAACTGGCGGGGGGGAAATTTGAACGTTGTAAAAGTGACATTCACTAAATACACTAAAATCACATAGTATTCCATTCCTGTATCAAACCATTTCACATACATTTTGTCCCGAGTGCTTTGTCCGGCGCCCTGCCTGCATTTTTACTGTTCTTTCTGCCTGGAAACTGAGAAACGTCCATGGCGTCCAAAAAGCGTCCCTTTAGGTCAGACGCGGTTTTAGACCGGCTAGAGAACAGCGATAGTAAATCAGAACCACTTGCAGAATTGAGTGATAATGATTGGTGGGGGAAATTCCTCATCAGACACTGAAAACGATTCTGCGACTTTGCTCAGCGATGTGCGAACTTGGCGCTCTATTTCACATTTCAGTGTTTTTGGTTTGATTATATTATTGAATTACATTTATTATTATTATATTATTATTTTTAATGATTATTTATTAAATTATAATTTATGATTTCGTTTTTCAAATTTTAACATACCCGGAATGTTTACTAGACTCTTGTTCGGACATTTCAGGGAGTTATTCCTCCTAAAAATTACAGGCCTACAATAAAAAAAATACATATTTCCATGCAAAAAAAAGTACCGCTTAGAGCACAGAAATATGGACATAATCAGACCGCTAGGGAGGTTAAAAAGAAATATTACACATCGGGATAAACATCTCACACTGATTAGGTAACGAGGTCAAGTTGACAGAAGACTAATCCCATCATGTAGGAACCTCCAGGAGGACTAGCCAACAGACAGAAACAATAGGTGACTCAATGAACTCAATTAACAATGGGACAAAGATACAACAGTAAACATGTGACACCGTAATAAACAGATTTTAGAAAGAGACCTCACCATCAGGTTGTTTTGAGCTTGTTATTTCAACATCTTCTTAGAGTCTCTGAGTTTGGGGGGGTTGTAGCAGTCAATGCTAGTTTGGGCACAGAGTCCCCAAATCTATATCATGATCCTCCAGTTCTCAGAGTCTGTGTGTTTTGGGGAGTCATGGACTTGAATCCAAAGTAAAACTACTCCAAAAGGTCCTCCAGGCACAGACCTCCCAAAGAATAGAGGCGCCTCAAACGCCAGGGCTCAGAGTCAGTAGGCAAGAGGCTATCTTCAGTCTCCTCCAAAAGCCCCTGGCCCGGTTGGGTCAGTCACAGAAAGCATTTAATAAGTCCAGGACCTGACCCTTTACCCCCTCCAGAAAAAAAAGACCCAAGAGTTTTTTTTTCCTTTGTTCAGTCTGGCTCAGCTGGTCTTGGTGGTCACACACAGGAGCAAAGTGTGTGCGCGTGTATGGAGGGAAGAGAAAAGTTCACTTTAATTATTTTAAAGTAAATGTAAACAAAGTGGTTCTAAAGGCAGAAGGTTTCTTTTTACCTGAATGCATTCTACTCATTAGGGTAAAGAAACCTTCTACATGTAGCCCCCCCCCCCCCCCCCATAGCCCCCTTGAGCTCGAACCAGCGATGTGCACAAGATCAAAGGCTCTCCTGGCTTTCTCCCTCCTCATTGACTCAGACACAGCAGGAGGAGCCATTTTTTAATCACAGCCAGTGAGGAGGGAGCGGGGGGCAGGGCAATGCACTGTGTGGACACACAGAGCCGGCTCAATAGGGAACAGGCATGAGTGACCCCATTGCAAGTAGCTTGCAATGGGGGCACTCGGCTGGGGGGAGGGGCCAGGAGTGCTGATGAGGGAGCAAAACCATTGCATAGGGCAGGTAAGTATAACATGTTTGTTATTTTTTATAAAACTAGAACATTTTCCATTATAACTGACTGTATATCAAACACTATTGTCCTTTTTTTTTTTTTTTTTTTTTCCCAGTAAAAAGCTGTTAACATTTCTTTGTCCACCTTTTGTTGCATCTCCGTGCTGATGATCTCCTGCAGATTTTGCACTTTCTGTACTTCCTGCACTTTTCTACATGCACTCCAGCAATGTCTACATGGCATTTCTCATGGCGGGTTTCCTGATGATGACAACAGTGGACAATTCCTACCTAATGGGTGTTCAAACAGCTTTGGAAGCCCATTTTAACAATTGATTTCAAGCCCAACTCCGGGCAAAAAAAAAAGTTCTCCCATGCAGTGGGGCTGTGCCTGCACTGTATGGGTTAGCTGCTTGGTTTGTCCAAGGGCAAACAGAAAGTGAATACTCACCCAGTCCTCTGCTCCAGCAGCAAACAATGCTCCCCCATGATCCAGTGATGGACTGATCCTGATGTCCTCATGTTCATTGATGACGTCAGAAACAGTCTACTGCACAAGACCGCTAGACCGCAGGGGGGACAGGAGCAAAAGCATCGGTCTTGTGCTGGGAGGATTAGGTAAGTATATCTACCTTTTCCAATCCCCTAGACCACAGGTGTCAAACACAAGGCCCGAGGGCCGAATCTGGTCCTCCAGGCCATTTCATGTGGCCCTTGCACCTCTCCTGCAGGTACCCCCTTGTCTCCGCCCCCACCTTGTCTCACCAGTCCCCAGCAGAGAGGAGAATAGAACAAATCTGCCAAATCCTCCTCATCCCCCCCACCCCCTCATCTCTGCCTCCCCTGGTCTCAGCATTCAGCAGATTCTTTAACTGACTCCACTCCTCTGGTCCTCCTCCAGCATCCTCTAGCCCACAGGTGTCAAACACAAGGCCCGCGAGCCGAATCCGGCCTTCCAGGCCATTGCATGTGGCCCTTGCACCTCTCCTAGCCCCTTGTCTCAGCCCCCCACCTTGTCTTAACAGTCGGCAGCAGAGAGGAGAATAGAACTCTTCTGCCAAATCCTGCACCTCTCAGTGCAGCTGCAGCACCCCCTCATCTCTGCCTCCCCTGGTCTCAGCATTCAGCACACTCTGGTAACTGACTCCACTCCTCCTCTGGTCCTCCTCCAGACCCTGCACTTTCTGCTTTCCAGCTCTGCCCCAAAAGGGGGTGCTCTGGTCCTCCTCCAGACCCGGCACTTTCTGCTTTCCAGCTCTGCCCCAACAGGGGGTGCTCTGGTCCTCCTCCAGACCCTGCACTTTCTGCTTTCCAGCTCTGCCCCAAAAGGGGGTGCTCTGGTCCTCCTCCAGACCCGGCACTTTCTGCTTTCCAGCTCTGCCCCAACAGGGGGTGCTCTGGTCCTCCTCCAGACCCGGCACTTTCTGCTTTCCATCTCTGCCCCCAAAGAGGGTGCACAGTGATGTTAGGGAGGGTGTGGGATTCTTGACATCTGATGTAAGGGGGGGGTGGGGTGCTCTGGACATCTAGTCTTACAGATACAACCAGCCCTTTGAGGGAAACCATAATGCTGATGCGGCCCGCGATGAAGTGGAGTTTGACACCCCTGGTCTAGACAAAAGCGAGCAGTTAACCTCGCTCAGCCCCACTGTAAGGGAAAACTTCTTTTTTTTTTTGTTGCCCAGAGTTAAGCTTTAAAATTATAAGTGTGGACATTGCATGGCATAAAAGAATAAAAAGGAAAAAAGGAAATACGTTTTTTCCTAAACAATTAATTACCTTTTTCTTTTACAAATAATATTGTATTAAATAGTTGTCTCTGCAATATTATTATATTCTCTGTGACACACATTAGATCTACTGTGACCTCATAAACCCTTTGTAAGACGAGGAGATTCAACCAGGAGGTGTATAAACACTGCAGGACGGGTTGTCAGAGTCCTCCTCTGTATAATCACTGGGTGTATTATGGACAGATCTCTACTAAACGTCATTTTATTCTGTGACATCGACAGCTATATGAATTGTTATCAAAGAGTGAGAATCTCATTCCACAAAAATTTGCTTGAAAAACATAGATATACTTCTCCCAGATTGTAAGCTCCCAGGATCAGGGCCCTCCTAACCCTCTTAGATTGTAAGCTCCCAGGATCAGGGCCCTCCTATCCCTCTTAGATTGTAAGCTCCCAGGATCAGGCCCTCCTGTCCCTCTTGTATTGAACTGTATTGTTGCTGTATTGTCTCCCGTTATATTGTAAAGCGCTGAGCAAACTGTTGGCGCCATAAATCCTGTATAATAATAATAATATATAAATCCTGTATAATAATAATATATAAATCCTGTATAATAATAATAATAATATATAAATCCTGTATAATAATAATAAATATATAAATCCTGTATAATAATAATAATATATAAATCCTGTATAATAATAATAATAAATATATAAATCCTGTATAATAATAATAATATATAAATCCTGTATAATAATAATAATATATAAATCATGTATAATATAATAATAATAATAATAATAATAATAAATCCTGTATAATAATAATAAATATATAAATCCTGTATAATAATAATAATATATAAATCATGTATAATAATAATAATAATAATAATAATAATAATAATAATAAATCCTGTATAATAATAATATATAAATCCTGTATAATAATAATATATAAATCCTGTATAATAATAATAATAATATATAAACCCTGTATAATAATAATATATAAATCCTGTATAATAATAATAATATATAAATCATGTATAATAATAATAATAATAATAATAATAAATCCTGTATAATAATAATATATAAATCCTGTATAATAATAATAATATATAAATCCTGTATAATAATAATAATAATATATAAATCCTGTATAATAATAATATATAAATCCTGTATAATAATAATAATATATAAATCATGTATAATAATAAATCCTGTATAATAATAATATATAAATCCTGTATAATAATAATGTATAAATCCTGTATAATAATAATATAGAAATCCTGTATAATAATAATAATATATAAACCCTGTATAATAATAATATATAAATCCTGTATAATAATAATAATATATAAATCCTGTATAATAATAATAATAATATATAAATCCTGTATAATAATATATAAATCCTGTATAATAATAATAATGTATAAATCCTGTATAATAATATATAAATCCTGTATAATAATAATATATAAATCCTGTATAATAATAATATATAAATCCTGTATAATAATAATAATAATGTATAAATCCTGTATAATAATAATATATAAATCCTGTATAATAATAATATATAAATCCTGTATAATAATAATATATAAATCCTGTATAATAATAATACTTTTTTTATTGTTTTACTTTTTTAATTTAGAGGGTGTGTTTTTAATGAGGAATTTATTTAGGGTAGTTTAGTTTATTTCATTTAGTGGCGTGTGTGTGTTTGATCATCATGTGTGCACTGTTACTTAAAGCCGAACTCCAGGCAGATTTTTCTAATCCATGTATTATAAGAAAGTCCTTACCTTTTAATAAATATGGTCTTCTTTTTGCAAACAGCCACTGATTATGCTGTTATTGAATGCTGCATTTGCGGGGCTCTGTGTCCATAGTATCCTGTAAGTAAGACTCGTGGCCTCTGTGTCCACATATTCCCAAGGCCATCGGTCGTGTAAGTTTCCCATTGTAGTTCTTTTCTAATAGCAGCAATGTCCTTATGTTATCCTTAGTGGGAGGAACCAGGAATGTCCCATCCACTTTCCATGCCTAATTTGATTGACAGGCCAGGAGGTTCCTGGCTTGTCCTGCCTGCTATGACTTCATACCTTGACTGACAGGCCAGGAGACTTCTGGTATGTCTTGCCCGCCATGACTTCATAACCTGACAGACAGGCCAGGAGACTCCTGGTTTGTCTTGCCTGCCATGACCTCGTAACTTGACTGAATGGCCAGGAGACCTCTGATCTGTCTTGCTCACCATGACCTCATAACTTGACTGAGAGGCCAGGTGACTCCTGGTTTGTCTTGCCTGCCATCTCCTCATACCTTGACTGACGGGGAAGGAAACTTCTGATCTGTCTTGCCCACCATGACTTTATAACTTGACTGACAGGCCAGGAGACTCCTGGTTTCTCCTGCCTGCCATGACCTCATACCTTGACTGACAGGCCAGGAGACTTTTGGTTTCTCGTGTCCACCATGACCCCATAACTTGATAGACAGGCCAGGAGACTTCTAGTATGTCTTGCCCACCATGACCTCATAACCTGACTGACAGGCCAAGAGACTTCTTGTTTGTCTTTCCTGCCATGTCCTCATACGTTGACTGACGGGCAAAGAAACTTCTGATCTGTCTTGCTCGTCATGACCTCATACCTTGACTGACGGGCCAGGAGACTTTTGGTATGTCTTCTCCACCATTACCTCATAACTTGACTGACAGGCCAGGAGACTCCTGGTTTTTCTTGCCTGCCATGACCTCATACTTTGACAGGCCAGGAGACCTATGTTCTGTCTTGTCCACCATGACCTCATAATTTGACTGACAGGCCAGGAGACTCCTGGTTTCTCTTGCCAACCATGACCTCATGCCATGACTGGCAGACCAGGAGACTTCTGGTATGTCTTGCCCACCATGACCTCATACCTGGAATGATGGACCAGCAGAATCCAGGAGGTTTCTCCTGCCTGCCATGACCTCATATCTTGACTGGCAGACCAGGAGGCTTCTGAGCTGTCTTCTCCACCATGACCTCATACTTTGTAAAAAAAAAAATGGAGAGGCTGTTTGTTTTTCTTTTGCCACAACAGGTCTAGAATAGATGACAGCAGCTTCTGGACCCTTTGGGAGCCAGTTAACGCCTATTTCACCCTTAAAAACCCTAATTTTGCCTTTCTCATTGCCCTCAATTTATCTTGCTAAAATGGCAACATTTAAAAAGAAAAATGTAAGGAAAACTACATAACACCAAAGGATTTGTATTTCTTTTCAGCCACACTTATGATTCACTGATCCCTGCTAGTGATGTTCTTGCATGATTCAGTGAGCAGCCAGGTGACACAGGAAGCTGCAGAGCTGTAGCAGTGAAAAGTAGTGTCACCCCTCTAGTGTTCGCAAAGGTGTGAGAATCACAAGACTGGCTGAACATGATTACAAATAATATTATGGATGGCCAAAAAAAAAATGTAAAGGGTTGGAGTCTTCTTTATAATGCCCATTGATAGATCCCACAATGCTCTGTTCAGGTCTTGCTCTAACAGATTGTTCTCTTCCTTGTGGCTTCAGACTGAGTTGAAATCATTTCCTTTTTGTTTGCAGATGTTTCACACAGAGGACTACGAACTTCTCGTCCTGCAGCACAACTGCTGTCCCTATTGCCGAAAACCCATGGAGGACCCCAGCCAGTGACATTCCAAGCCTGGACCATATTATACCAGCACTAATAGTCAACCCTTAATTACATCAATATTTTTATATAATTTATTAAATCTTTTTCTACATATTTCCTGTGTCTGGTATTTGCTGATTTAGCGTGTCATCTGCAGGAAAACTATCTGTGAAATGTTATATTTTACAGCCATGGACAATAATCAGGGTCCAATTTATGGTTCTGAAACCCCATTTTATCCATAATAGGATCATTTTATGTCATGCCAGCATTATGTTTTGTTTTTTTTTTCTCTGGATAGTTATGGGAATTGTGTAGGGTTAAACCCTCTGTCAGGTTTCGATTATTTCAGAGAATCAAAGGAGCTTTGTCCTTTTGTTGGTTCAATTTCAGAGTGCGGAATGGAGATCTATATTGTAGAATAGAGCACCTCTGGTTATGCAGAGGGACCTCAAGTGGTGCCTTAGATAATTGTACTTTAAAACAAAGTGCACTTATTCTTGTTTCCGCCTTCTCCTCACCCAACATAACCCAACCTCCCCTGTACAGATGTAAAAATGAAAAAACAAAATGGCGCTGCGAGAGGACCACACATGAAGAGTCTAGATAGGTTAGTGACAAATGACGGATACAGAGGGAGAAATACAAATAGAGGAATCAGCGTACAATAGTAATGAATTCAAAATAGGTTGACGATGAAGGGACAAATGGAGATGGGGAAGTCCATAGTCAAAGGGTCCTAGGTGGTGGATGGATGGTGAAGGCAGCTTCCCATAGAGCGAAGCAGAACTCTGTAGAAAATAAATCGGACACAAGGGGTTGCCAATCTCAGCTTAGAGGGTTAAAGATTTATTGGTAACGAGGTTTTAAAAACTACTTACAAATGTAAGAAGTATAATAGCATGGTAAAGGAATGCCTTTGGTCCATCCTCAGTCTGCCAATGATGTGAAGATGGATCCTGGTTGTGCAGGATGAGCAGAGATGCAGCCATCAGTGTTCAGCAATGCAGAGAGTTTTTGAGAATGGCGCCAAAACCAGCATGGACAGCAAAAAAATTGGGACCTCGGCGGGCGACCAATGGCAGGGCAGGAACAGGGTCAGGTGACGCGTTTCGAAGCACTTGCATCTTCTTCAGACACCAGAGGTCTCCCGCCGAGGTCCCAACTTCCTTGCTGTCTATGCTGGTTTTGGCGCCATTTTCAAAAACTCTCTGCATTACTGAACACTGATGGCTGCATCTCTGCTCATCCTGCACAACCGGGATCCTGTACAGATGTATACTTACCTTAATCCTACGGCCATGGTGCCGCTGTTTGTTTACATTCAGCATTGAAAGTCTTCACTGTCTGGCTGTTTTTTCACATTAAAGCCCTATATGCTTTTACAGGACCATCTCCAATTGTTTGCAACTTCGGGACATGGCCTCATAGGATTCAATGGGGCTGTAATGCACAGGCATGGCCAGAACAGTGAGCACTCTGGTCTTCGGAACAAGGTAATTCTGCATCTATGGAGAGGTAGGTTAGGTTAGGTCAAGGAAGGGGGCAAAAAGGATAAATGCAGTTTGTATTAAAGTGGCTTTATTCTTAGAGCAAAATCCAGGAGTCTGAAGGCATGCCAGACCAACGGTATTAGAGTAGGCATGCCAAACCAAGGGTATTAGAGTAGGCATGCCAAACCAAGGGTATTAGAGTAGGCATGCCAAACCAAGGGTATTAGAGTAGGCATGGCAAACCAAGGGTATTAGAGTAGGCATGCCAAACCAAGGGTATTAGAGTAGGCATGCCAAACCAAGGGTATTAGAGTAGGCATGCCAAACCAAGGGTATTAGAGTAGGCATGCCAAACCAAGGGTATTAGAGTCCATACTTAATTTGTTTTTTTTTTTCAAATCCAAGATAAAAGAAAACGCCCACACATTTCGGAGGCTTATACAGCTCCAGAGCTTGATATGCTGTTTGAAAGAAAAGATTTGGACACTCGGCTACTGAATGCTTCTTGAGAAGACGGAGCAATATCTACGGCAAAACCATTCTGGTCCCCAGAGCCTCCTGTCCCTTATGCTCTGGTGATCACAGGTCCTCTGACATCATCAAGTCAAGTGCAGAGCCCCATAACCCTGCACTTGACCTTGGGGGGGGACAGGCCAATGCTGGAGTGAAGGGGAGCATCACTAATGTATTGGACCAGGGTGGTGCTGTGGACATATGTTGATTTCAGCAAAGCATTTGATACAGTTCCACATGATGATCTATTAAAAATTAGTAAAAGTTTTGCAAGCTAGGACTTAAACCTTGGGTGGTCCAGTGGATATGCATTTAGCTAAAGGATAGATATTAGAGTGTGGCTGTAAATAGGGTTCCTATGGAACAAGATCTGTAACTAGAGAGCTACAGAGCCTTAGTGTACCACAAGGTTCTCTACTAGGTCCTCTTCTAATTAAATTTTAGGTAAGTGATATAACTAAATGGTTGGTGGGTAATATATGTCTTTTGGAAGACGCAAAGGTGTGCAATAGGGTTGACATCCCTGGAGGTCTCTATAACTTTGACCAATCCTTCCAGCAATGCCAAATCATGTTCCAAGCTGCAGAAACTGCACTTCAATGATTCTAAATGTGAAATAATGCACCTAGGGGAAAATAATTCCTTGATAGAATACAGTATTTGAGTACAGTGTTGGCCTGCACTATAGAGGAAAAAGATACGGGAGTAACTTTTTCAGATGATTGCAAAATGAACAAACAGTGTAACGAGGAAGTGGGAAAAGTTAATACAATCCTAGAAAGCATCACTAGAGGGATCACCGGCAGGAGGAAGGAGGTCCTGATTCCTCTATATAGATCTTTATGTCACTAGAGGGATCACCAGCAGGAGGAAGGAGGTCCTGATTCCTCTATATAGATCCTATCACTAGAGGGGTCACCGGCAGGAGGAAGAAGGTCCTGATTCCTCTATATAGATCTTTATGTCACTAGAGGGGTCACCGGCGGGAGGAAGGAGGTCCTGATTCATCTATATAGATCTTTATATCACTAGAGGGTTACCGGCGGGAGGAAGGAGGTCCTGATTCCTCTATATAGATCTTTATATCACTAGAGGGGTCACCGGCGGGAGGAAGGAGGTCCTGATTCCTCTATATAGATCTTTATATCACTAGAGGGGTCACCGGCGGGAGGAAGGAGGTCCTGATTCCTCTATATAGATCTTTATATCACTAGAGGGGTCACCGGCGGGAGGAGGGAGGTCCTGATTCCTCTATATAGATCTTTATCACTAGAGGGATCACCGGCAGGAGGAAGGAGGTCCTGATTCCTCTATATAGATCTTTATCACTAGAGGGATCACCGGCAGGAGGAAGGAGGTCCTGATTCCTCTATATAGATCTTTATGTCACTAGAGGGGTCACCGGCAGGAGGTCCTGATTCCTCTATATAGATCTTTATATCACTAGAGGGGTCACCGGCAGGAGGAAGGAGGTCCCGATTCTTCTATATATCACTAGAGGGGTCACCGGCAGGAGGAAGGAGGTCCTGATTCCTCTATACAGATCCTATCACTAGAGGGGTCACCGGCAGGAGGAAGGAGGTCCCGATTCCTCTATATAGATCTTTATATCACTAGAGGTGTCACCGGCGGGAGGAAGGAGGTCCTGATTCCTCTATATAGCTCTTTAGTGAGACTTCATTTAGTATGCTGTGTCCAGTTTTGGAGGCCTCACTTACAAAAAAGATATTCATAAGATACGAGTCCAGAGACGGGTAACAAAAATGGTGAAATGGGGAATAAAACATATCAGGAGAGACTGCAAGAAACTAATATGTACAGTCTAAAGCAGGGGTGGGCAAACTTTTTGACTTGAGGGCCGCAATGGGTTCATATATTTGACCCGGGGGCCGGACCAAGAGTAGATGAATGATGTGTATGTGTCATCCATAGTAAGTATAGTAATATTCCCCCATAGTAAGCATAGTAATTCATCCCCCATATAGTAATTCATCCCCCATAGTAATTCATCCCCCATAGTAATTCATCCCACCTATAGTAATTCATTCCCCATATTAATTCATCCCCCATATAAGTCCCCAAGTCCCCCCTGTGTCAATTCACTTACCTTTGCTCCGCGCGTTCCTTTCGCCGTGTTCCTGCGCCGTTCCGGTGTAGCATGAAAATCTGTCTCCTATGAGGATCTGTCCCCCTCGACGTATCTGCGCATGTGCCAGTTTCAGGCATTAGCAGCCGATCGGCGATCTCCGGCACATGCGCAGATACGTCGAGGGGGACAGATCCTCATAGGAGACAGATTTTCATGCTACACCGGTCTTCAGGGCGGACTGTGAGAGGAGCCTAGCGGGAGCCTAGCTCCGCGGGCCGGATTAAAAGGCCCGCCGGCCGTAGTTTGCCCATTGCTGGTCTAAAGGAATGAAGGGAAAGGTTTCAGTCACTGAAACCATCAAATACATCAATTGGGGCCAATAAGGTACAAAAGGACAGTATTTTCAGTATGAAGCACAAGAAGATCAAGAACACGAGGACATGACCTCAAACTATCAGAAGGAAAGTTCAAAACTAATCTTAGAAAGTATTATTTTACTGAAGGAGTAGTTGATGCTTGGAATAGGCTTCCGGCAGGGGTAGTGAGTCAGTCAACAGTAGGTTGATGCAAATATGCTTGGGACAAACGTATATCTATACAAAAGTAAACAGAAAACAAAATTATATATATATATATATACTGATGTGAATGTACAATATATATGTAAAGTGCTGCGTAAATTGACGGCGCTATATAAGTACCTGAAATAAATAAATTATATATATATATATAATTTTTTTTTTTTTTTTTTTTTTTTTTACTGGGGCAGACTTGTTGGACCACTTGGTCATTTTTTTTCTGCAACTCTTCTCTGTTTCCAGAGAAGAGTACGGGCTGGTAAACAATCGAGTAAGTAAAACTTCTCTTTGAGCCTCCTAGATATAAATGAGCATTTAACCCTTGGAGTGAGAGGACAGTCCCATGA